CTTTTAGGAGGGTGGCAGAAGCCCTGCCACACAAAACAACTACAAATGTGCAGACTGATTTATGGCATACATCACTTTCATCTTTCCCAAAAGTAGTTGATCCTCTTAGGAAAAAGCTGTCAATACAGCTTTTTTCAATTGGACAGAGTGAAAAAAATCGACAGAAACTGAAATATATTTAGAACCGCTTTAACAAGTTTTGATAAAGGCTTGCTCAGAATTTGCATTACATTTGTTTGGAAACACAGCTACTGTGAATGGTTGTACTGGAGGTTTCTTCCTGTCATCAGTCTTATTACAAAAACTTTGATCAGAGGTAGGGCCTCATACCCTGGAGTCCTACCCTCTTATTCAGGTTTTAACAGAAAATATCATATATAAATACCAGAAACTATATCAAAATACACAATTATATCTGTATTTCTCTAAAAAAAAATAAATAAATGAAATCATCCCACTGGTTAACTTAGTTGTTCCCAATCCTTTCTTCATTGGCCCCTCTAAGGTTTAAAAGAAGAGTTCAAGCACCTGACTCAGACCAACCTTTTCGGCTATTGAACGAAGAAAAAAAATCCCTGGCTGTAAACCATTTTGACAAGCATATATTTCAAATAACAAAACTGCCATTTTAAGTGCAGTTATTTTTAAGTTTCACTGTGTAGTTTTTCTTTGTTAACTGTGTAGAATTCACCTTTGCAAAGAATAAAAAATAAACTCTCAAAAATGGAAGTTGGCAAAGTTGCCAGTTTGTGATATTTGTCAATAGAGACTTGCATCATCAAGCATGTTTTTCCTGCAGCATTTAATTTCATCCTTTAATTTATTTAAAATCCCCCATCTTGTTTTCATCTTTCGGTCAGCTTAAGCAAAGATGCAACAGCAGCAGAAGATCAAGAAGCATCCAAGGCCCTCACCTAAGACTTTTAAACTGAGGGTGCAGATGGGTGAAACTGTTGGGGGTATAGGCTTCTCTATAGTTCAGCCTTCCAATCAATATCCAACATCTATCAGCATTGGGAGGCAATATTTCCCCTCTTTACCTTGCAATAATCGCGCTTAAGGCTGTGAAGTACCTTATCATAGGTCTGGAAGCAAGAGAAAGGCCGGTTTCCCTGGCGACCATGAAAGCCATTGGTTTCCTTTTCAGCAGAATAATGAACTTCTCTCATCCGTGTGTCACTCTTCCACCCCACTCTCAGCCTCTTCGATTAAATTCAAGTCCACGCGTCCTTGAGATCCATCGTGCCTGGCTTATAATTTGACAAACAAGAAAAAAAGAAAAAACACATAAAGGGGGAAAAATGCTCAAAGCTCAAGAAATCCGCAGATTTAGGCATCTACAGTCAATACAG